CTTCGGATGCATATAGAATGGAACTATGCATCCGAAGAAGTGGGCTGTAGTCCACGAAAGCTTATGCTCTAATAAATTTGTTAGTCTCTAAGGTGCCACAAGTACTCCTGTTCTTCTTTTTAGGTAAATCAATGTTGCCAAGTCTTGTGCTACTTGATGCTTTCATTAAAACCCCAGCTTCTAGAGTTATATAATATGTGAGCATCTCAGGTGTTTTTTTAAAACAAGTTTCTAGTCCTCATGGTTACAGAGAAGAGCTTGAACACATGACTACAGTGTAACCCAAAGGCTCAAAAGCCAAAATGCAAATAAAAAGAACCCCCATTTAAAAAAAAAATCTCATGATTTTTAAGCCCATTTTGTGATTTTTTCGGGGCCTGTCTTATTACTTTTGAATGCTTGGGGTTGGTGGTACTGAATTTGGTATCCTACCTTTCCATTTAAATCTTTAGATTACAGGAAAGAAGCAGCTATCATATAGTGAACAAAACCGAGAGGCCAGGCACAGTAGAGGAACAGTGTGCTGGATGTTTGGTGGGGGAAGAGAAGAGACGTAGGTGAGCTGGAGCAGGGGAAATTGTTGCACAGACAGATATTGTGAGCCAGCTCTGTGAAAAAAAAGATCTTCAGGCTGTTTTTGACATGCCACCTTTCAATGGCCTGGAGTTATGAATGTATCAGCTACAGTGCACAAATGTTGGGGCCTGTATGTCTTCATTAGAATGATGTAGACTTGGCAAGGAATGAGCAGGAAGAGCTTGGGGATTCTTACTCTGCTGCTGTTCATACAGTCTGTGAAATGGGACTAAAGGGAGAACATCAGTTTACAGAGTTGCTGGTCCATTAACCCTCAGAAACAAAATCACGATATTCAATGTGGAAATTATAATCAGAGATGTTCCTCTCTGCCTGCATTGAAGTTCACCTTTGTTTACAATATTTCCACCAGATCTCATGCAGTACTATTCACAGAGGCCCTGCCTTTCTCCCAGTTCCTAGAAAAGGGACATCCAGGTCAAAGATCAACAAATTCTGCTGGAAGGGCGTGATGTTGAAAAATTTGCCTGAAGACCTGAGACTTATGATCTAGGAAGTAGTTGTACCAATGTTCTACATTATTTCCCTTCCCACTGGGACTCCTCACTTAAGCACCAGACTAAGAAAGTCCAACAGTCTCAAACAGATTCCTCCTCCAGTTCCCCCAACCCTTGGGACTCAGTTCCTAAGCCACTTTTTTCCTTCCGCTCCTTCAGACTTTTCTTTTGTGATCTGGGTAACTGTTCATTCCCTTGCTCACCTGTGATCAGGTTGTCCACTAGGGTGGTTGGCATACAGAAGATGCCCACCAGCAGATCACTGATGGCCAGGTTGAGAATGAACATGTTGGTGACGGTCCGCATCTGCCGATTCTTCAGCACGATGACGCCTACCAGCATATTGCCAATCATGCACATCAGGAAGATGAAGATGTAGGCCAGGATGAACATGGCAGCTATGGGGGAGGAATGCTGATAGTAAGACGAAAAAGTATACTTCTCCCTGAAGACACGATTTCTGCTGTCATTCTTGGAGTATGGTGAGCTGCTGTTGGAGGGGAGAAAAGTGTCACCTACAGAAAACAAGGTAGAAAAATAAACTCATGAAGGCCCCATCTGATAAAGGGATTATTTGATTCACATCAAACCTTTTCCAAGGCATTTTGTGGTTTATTTTTATTTACATTTTCATGTTATACATAAGAAATAAATAATGGTGCATGATTTATGACTAGGCAAAGCTGGACAGAATAGCAGCATAAACTGGTCAAATGACTCAGCAGAAAAAATAAGCAGCTAGCATGTCTTTCCTTCAAGGATCAATATTGAATAAGAAATTGAAAGTTAATAGAAAGCTTGGGTTAGAATCAGTCCTATGGTCCTGGATGTAGAGCCCATCCTTCCCAAAGACTTTCTCCCCACGTAGTCACTATTATAGCTCTTCCACCTAAGGATCTGTGTGAGGGGAGCAGGAAGCTCAGCAGGAGTTAATCTCTTGACCATCAGGGCCAGGCACTGCAGTGCCCTTGCCCTATCACCGACCAATTTTCACTTGGCTCATTATTTGCTGCCCACACACACATTTGTCAGAGATGTCATGAATGATTCACAGGGTTTGGTGAGAAATCATTCATAACTGATATTACCCCTGCAAAATTCACACTCATTACTAGAGATGTCACAATGAATTAATTAACACTTGTAAAGTGCTGCTATTACCAACTACAAATAGCTACAAACGAGTGGCACCTTACTTCCATTTTTCTCTCACCTATTTTGACTAACACCACCAGTCTTGGTTATGCTGAGAAATAGAAGCAAGATCCCGCTACTACACCCCCCGCCCCCAACTGACTTTCAGCCTAGTGGAAAATGTAAAAAAATGTGAGGCCAGACAGTTACATTCTTTGCACTTTGCAAATTCACCCAGGTTCTAGCCCTGCGGGTTCTTACAAAAAAAGGCTTCTTAAGTTACTACCTAGATTTCTGCCTCTCACTGAGAGAATCAAAGATGAAGTAGCTGTAAAGTGCAGATTCAAGCAAGATACTGGGGATCAGGACCCACAGTTTGCAGAGGCCCTGGACTCAGCAGTTAATCAGAAGCAGAATAGCAGCAGGGAGTGGTACAGCACACAGCTGAGTGCTGTAGACTGACTTCCTGATGCAGTGGACTTGCATTGTCTGGGCTGCCTCATTCTTGGGAGGATGATCAAAGACTGACTAGCAAAAGCAGTGGGAGCTGGTAAACCTCATTGGCAGTGGTTTTGTTTTGCAAACCCAAAATAAGGGGTGGATTGGAACCAAGTTCAATTTCACAAAACCCCCAAAGTTAGGGGTTTCAAATGTATATTTGGATTTTAACTCATCTCCATTTAAGACTGGGAGAAAGACAAATTCAGATCCTACAGGCTAAGGGGAGGAGTCGTCTGTAGAGGAGGGTTGGGGAAAAAGAGCTTGTTTGGGGAGGCAGGAGGAGAAGCTGTGCAGAAGGCTCCAAAACGTTGATGGATATAGGCCTTGATTAACTTTAATACACCCTTTGCAGTCATGACCTGATGGGTCCTGTGTCTCTTGGGTCATTTAGGGGAAAGAGGAAGGCTCATAGAGGCTGCAAACCTTTTGCATTTTATTATTATTAATTTTAGGATGGGGCCAACACAAGCCCCAGATCCAAATGGCCTGAACTTTGGAGATATTTTGGGTTCAAATCCAGCCCTGGAGTTTTCCTGTTTGAGCCTCTATAGTTCTTAACTACTCGGTTATTCTAATTGTGACTTTATTCCTCTCCTGTTGCTGGTGTCCTCTGAGCCTCCAAATGACTATTAATGGGCTTCTTTATAGCTTTTCTGAATGGGACTTGTCCTTATTAGTGTTTCTTTTATTGTTATTCCAAACACTTTCTCTTCCATTGCTCTCTTCTACCCTTTGCTTGTCTTCCTCTCCTGTATAACACTATTTCTCCTGAGATCTCCTCAATGATAACGAATGATGTCCGAGTTACAGTTAATGACACTAGGGCAAAAAGGTGAACGCCACATGGTCATACTGAAGATGCCTTTATAAACTCAGTTTCTTGGTCTGCTCCTGCATCCATAAAGACAGAGCCCTGCACTCATGCAGACGCAATTCAAGATCCAGGACCTTGTTTTGTTTGTTTGAAAATGTAACTTAATCACCAGTGATGAGAGAGAAATGTTATCTGGTCTATAGCTGAAATGTGATAAGGAAAATATAAACCAGATATGTGAAGTGGCATGTGAACTATAAACTTCCCACAGGGAACATGTCACCTTTGCATTCCTTCATTATGATTAATAGTAAATAAGTATATATGGTACACCTCTACCCCGATATAATGTGACCCGATATAACACGAATTCGGATATAACGCGGTAAAGCAGTGCTCCTGGGGGCGGGGCTGCGCACTCCGGCGGATCAAAGCAAGTTCGATATAACACGGTTTCACCTATAACACGGTAAGATGTTTTGGCTCCCGAGGACAGCGTTATATCGGGGTGTACTTGGTGTGTTAAAGCATTTGATTTCTTTTGATGCGACTTGTTTTAAGTGAATATAGAAGCAAAGGTGCAGTTGCACTTGAAGAGAAGGTCTAGATCTCAAACAAAAAGCTTCCAGTTCAGTTCTGCTCTGGAAAGTGTAAGAACGTCACTATAGGGTACCATGTTTATTGTTGATCAATCATTTCTACATCAAAGCTGCTTAATTCACAAGTATTAAGCCCATCCCCCACCAAAAATGCTGCTCCTCAAACTCAACCTGCAATCTTAAAGTTCAGCTACTCTCTTTCTGGCTCATGTATCACTAACATTAAAGATTAAAATTCTGATCAGAATCTAGTTGTTAATTCTGTTGAAGATGTTCAAACCAGAATAAACTCACTGTTTGTATTATAGCAGCACCTAAAGACCCCAGCTGAGACCCCCAACCCCATAGAGTTAGGCACTGTACAAACAAATAGTAAGACATAGTCTGGTCTCGGAGTTTACAATCTAAGTAGACAAGGCAGACAAAGTGCGAGAGGAAAAACAGAGGCACGGGGAGATGAAGGGACTTGCCCGAGATTGTACAGCAAGTCAGTGACAGAGCTAAGAATAGAACCCAGTTTTCTTGAGTCCCAGGCCAGGGTCCTAGTCACAGCTACACTATGCTGACACTGTACCACTCAGCCTTCGGCTCTTCAGGGCTGATAGGGGCCCACATTGAGATTCATCAGCAGAGTATACACCCCCCAATTCAGAATTCACACACAAAGAAGAGACTGGTTGAGTAAGAAAGCACCATTTCTACATAGTCTCTTTTCATAGTCAAGCAGCACTTTCAGGAGCTGTAGTAGCTACAGCACATTTGCTTGTCGTGTTTGTGCATGCTGAGGATGTGCTTTTGGTATCAGCAGGATGCAGCAATACAGGATGCTGTTCTGGTGTTACTGTGTGAACAGTGGAGTGTAACTTGGCTTAAAGACTACGCGTCCAATCAGAATAAGGTACTGGTTTGTGTCTGAGCTCTCTTTGCTTAGGCAGCTTCCATTAATCAGAATAGGTAATGTCTATAGTTAACATTGCCTGAAACTTTCCATTGCAAGACACGGTGCTCAGTTGCTAGACCGTGGCCAAACTTTAACTGTTTGAGTAAAATTTCCCATGCCAGTGGTCTGCCTAAGGCAGACGTTTTTTGGAAAATTTCAGCTAAAATGATGGAGCCATTTCGGAGAACAAGATTATGGTAAAAATACATTATTCTGCCCCTGTTAAAAATAATTGCTATAAAACATTTTGTTGAGAAGCTCTAGCCAATCTATGCTTTGCAACAGGGACTTGAAATGTGGCAGGGGAGTCACCTTGATGTCAAGGAAGCGTCTTTCAGCATCCCAAGGAAGATTTTGCCATATTTAGGTAAGTTATAATCACTGAAAAAAAATCTCAGTTCACACATGTTCAGCAGATTCTTGTTAGAATTTGGCACCTAAATCCTCTGAAGATTCTCTCTCTCTGCAATTGCTCCTTCCAGCTCCTGGGGGCCCATGTTGGTGTTAGGCACAGGAAGACTTTTCTGTGCTCTCAGTGTTCCCCCTGCTGCTGCCCAGGTAGCGTGGAGGAAAAGGGAAGGAGCTGCCTGACTAATGCAGAGAGGAGAAGAATGGGGTCGGGAAAAAAGACAGGCGCAAGAGAGGTCAGAGAATGGTTGGGGAAGACAGGAACAAGCATGGGAGAGGGGCATAAGACAGGGATGGGGGCAAGGGCAGGAGCCACTGAAAGACAGGAGTGTGTGTGGTAAGAGGAAGACAGGAACCAGGGGAGATAGCAGATGGGGAGGGGACAGGAGCTGGGGGAATGGAGGGATAGATGCAGAAGGGGACAAGGGGAGGCTGGGGTTGGAACACAGGCAGAAGGGTCACTAGTTGAAGTGTTTGAGTTGGGCACGTAAGTAGCTTTCAGTCAGGAAGGATGCTTTCCCCAGCATTTATTTTGAGGGGGCTGAGCTGTCTGAGGAGGAATGTGAATATTGAAAATGGGGTCCTGGGCACGTTATTTCCCTTGCTGACCTAAGGGTGTATGAAAAGCCTCATTCACAGCCCACTGAAGTCTTTCCTTGAATTTCATGGGGATTTGGATCAGGCTCCTTGTGTGATTATCTAGGCATGAGCTGTTACGGGCTTATACAGAGGAACCCACTTTAGTCACCTGTGATGTGATCCCAGATTATGTCAGTGCATTTCAGTGTGTAAATTGCAATTTGCTTTAACATGAACCTTCAAATTGGTAAAGTTTTCTATGAAGAAAATGACTTCACTTTAAAAAGGGTTAGCTGTAGTATTCTTATCAAATGTGTGGTTTCACATATGTATGAAGTCTTGATAGCTGGTGGAGAAAGGCTCCTTTCTTTACTCTGTACTTTTATTAAAATGGCAATTAAATTAAATGCAAAAAACTACATTATTGCAATATTTTAGCTACTTCTAAACCCACAAGAGCCAGGAAATGCAAAATTATGGCTTCCACTGCAACTATAACTTGACTAAATTTAACTGATACTAGGTATTAAGGCTTAAATGTTAATAGCCTAGAGTAACACACATTCTCTCTCTCTCTCACACACACACACACACTTATGGTTGTTGTGGAAGCCACAGAATGCATGTTTCCTCTCTCCTTCTCCGCAGTGTTAAATAGTTTCCCCATATATTTCACAGAAGACAAATATGCCATAACAACTTACGCTATAAGAGACTGATCCGAAGCCCACTGAAGTCAGTGAAAAGACTCCCATTGACTTTAGATCAGGCCTTAAGAGAACTGAATTGAACACCTGCAATATACATTTGACAAGGAGATAGAAACTGGATGTCCTCACCTTCCATGACACAGCCTGACCCCTATTCTTGCTTCTGTATATTGGAGTGTTGTATTGTTTGCAGGTAGACTGGAGTCTTGAGATCAGAGCCACTCCTTAATGTTTCTCTTTATCTAGCTGCAGCCTCCTACTATCAGAGAGGGAGCAGCAACTCTGCTGTGGTGACGAATGCTATCTTGATCCACTGCTAGTTTGAGTCCTCCTGTACTCAGCCAGTCTCCCCAGGTTCTCAGAGCTTCCGGATAACTCACGAAAGATACCTGCAGAATTGGAGCTTTATTCTTTAACAAAATTCCCATAGAGTTCAAGGGTTCTCGATCCTCAGGGCAGTCTACTCCAGTTCCAAGAAAGTAGATGAAGGGAGGTAATATTTTTGTCCAAGTCCAAGAAGACAGTCAAGTGTGAGAACTTCGTTAAAGCAATGGGGTTATTAGTTAAGCATGACTGGAGTCCAGGCTGGAGACTTGGTGGATACTGATTTTGCAGCTATTCCAAAAATGCTTTTTTGCAGGGAGAGAAGGGGGAGGGAAGAATCAGAATCCTTTTGCAAAGACACCTGTTGAAATGCTTCCTAGTGCTCAGTCCCTTTGATACGGTCTTTGTTATGGGATTAAGACATCTCAAAATGCTCCAGCCCTCTCACTCAAACAGCTCCAAAAATTTCTTCCCACCACCAGAGTTGCAAGCTGAGCTTGTGGAGCTGTTTCCAGTTCAGCTGGAGAATGAAGCACACGTTGTTAGCTCATCAGCCCCCTGGCATTCTCTGTGCATGACTTCTGTCTCCGCTCGGCTTCTGCTCCTCGGACTCTCTACACACCAGCTCTTACTGCTCAGCAGCAAAGAAGCTGATTCTATTAGTTAGGGGCAAAGTGTGTGGGGAGGGGGGAAGAGGGGGACTATATCTCCCCATTGTCATGGTTACTGGAACACCTTTTGGATGTACAGGCAAACAGCTGGTCAATTAATTACTGTATCTGCAGCCGCTCTCATTTATCAACTGGGCAAAGTGAAGGGCTTAGTCACAACAAGAAAAATCAGACTCATCTCCAGCAGCCTCTTCTTGTCTTGCATGCTTATAGTGTGTGCTATTGCACCTTGTTCAGGGAACAGTGTTTTAGTGGCACCGTGGGCCTTACATTAAGGTAATCAGTTATCTGCTATTTGTAAGTTTTTACCAGGACACACACATTTCAGCCTAGGGGCTGTTTTTAAACTCTTCACTTTGTCTGTTCCTGGGATGTGAGGGGAAGGATGGCTCAGCAGTTAGGGTGCTAGCCTTGAAGACTCATGTTAAACGTCCTTCTTTGCTATAGTCTCCCTGAGTGATCTTGGGTAGTTCACTTCGGGTTTGTTTACAAGGGACAATTTACCAGTATAAATGATGATGGTAAATTTCTCTGCATAGAAAGGCTCTTAGTCTCTCAGTGCCTCAGTTCCTCTTCTGTAAAATGGAGATGATAGGACTTCCCTACCTCACAGAAGTGTTGTGCAGATAAATTCATTAAAGATTGTGGGCACTCAGATACCACACTATTTGGGGATGGGGAGTCAAATAATTGCCTTCAATAGATAGACTGATCATCTAGCTCACAAACTACTTTGTCAGTTCTGACTGGATGCCCGAAACTTTTAAAAACATGAGACTAATCATAGAACTGTAGAAACATAGGGCGGGAAGGGACTTCAAGAGGTCATCTAGTCAGCCTCTCATGCTGAGGCAGGACCAAGTACAACTAGACCACCTTGACCAATGTTTTTCTAACTAACAACCTGCTGTTAGTAAGTAGTGAACAACACACATTCCTTAGAAACTTTCAAAATAAACACTAGTGCTAAATCTTGAAAACTTGACAAACTTAAAATTTTTCACCACTGCAAGGCAGTTGTTCAAATACTTATGAATAATATGACCCCAGAAATAATGGTGGACAAAAATTTACTTCAGAAATCCATAGTCAATCTGCTTGCTAGTTGGTCAACACTACTCAAAACAACATTGAGCCATTTGAGTGTCCACCTATGAAAAAAAATACATGCATATACTTCTAAAGCAAAACAAGTCCCCCACCCTCCTTTAAAAGGTAAGAAAGTGATGAAAGTGAATTTTTGCCTGCTTTGCAATTTAAAGAGGCTCAGATCCTCCAATTAAAGGAAAATGAAGTTATAAATAATTTATAGTGCTCTAAATATGCGCAGACCTTAGTGGTAGTGGTGGAATTGTGGTGATTTATTTTGACAGAACTGAATATGTAATTGCTTTTAAGCTAGGGGGAATTGTACCGAGTCACTTTTTACTTACTATTTCTGTAAAGTTGTCTTATTGAGCTGATTCCTACCAGCAGATGTCTCACTACTACAGAGCATGCCGTAGTCTGAAAGCTGCCCTTACGTTAACCAGATGTCTTCACAGACCGCAGAGTGGCTTGGCAGAAGGCTGCAGCATTCTCTATGAAAGAGACCAAAACTCTTTTCTTGGGCTGCCTGAGGATGAGAATAGTGCAGGGGATATATTGGTTGTTCCCAGGGCCAGAAGGAGAAGAAAAGGGAAAGTGATAGCTCAGAGGAAAGACCAAAAAAAAAAAATGTTGGTGTGCCTATCGCCTCTGACAG